CCCCTGGCCATTCTGGGGCTCCTCGCCTGGGCAGGAGTTTCCGCGCGCCCAGCACCCGCGCCCACCCCCGGGCCATTTACCGATGTGGTTGTCTTCGATGTGCTCGATGAGGTCGGCCAGGGTGGGGAAGTGGAGTCCGCAGCCCCCGAATCGGCAGGTATTGGAGAAGAAGGAGGCGGCGGCGATGCCTGTCATGGTGCTACATCTAGAGCCCCCCTGGTGTCGGCAGGGCGCGCGGCTACAGCGGTGTGGCCCCAACCTCCTCTCTGGACCGAGGCCTCACCTGCAGCGCCTGCCACCAACTTTCTCTCGCCCGGCCCTGCCCCTCCCGCTGGTCGTACGTGCAGTCTGCTTGGAGCCTCTTAGGATGTGTATATTCCAGTCTCAACACACACACTTCTATTAATTACACGTACTTCCCGGCCACGAGAACTCAGGGAGGTACCCAGGCCCCTCTGGGGACATTTATTTGCACTTGGCCACCTGTCTAGGTGTGACTCTGACATTCACAGGGGACCCAGGAAAGGTAATTGTGTGCACCTTATTCTTTAAACCTTCTTTTTAAAAAAGTCCGTATTCTCTGGAGGTTTGCACTAATTGATTTTAATGAAGCTTCCCTCTAGGCCAGAAGAAAAATCTTAGCTTTATTTAAATTTCAAAATAGAGTACTTGGTTGTCAAGCGCATTTGCCTGTGTTTTACATAGGCACTAAGTTTTGTTAGACTCTTTGCTCCTTTTGAGAAAACAAAAACTAACATAATTTCATTAACCCAAGTTATAGCATCTCACCAGGCCCACCACCCTACCTCAAGTGAGTTAATTAACCAAAGCGGAAAGGACAGGGCTTTGGTTAAGGCTAGGAGTGAAAACAGGATTAAGGGACATTGGTGGGTAGGAGTGGTGGGGCTCTCAAAAGTTCACAGAAAATGTGCTTTATAAAAAAAAAAAAAAAGTGTAGATTTTGAGATTCTTGAGGGGGGTACCAAACTAAACTTGTATTTTAATTCCATCTTTTTCCTCATACTTAACTCTTCTGTGTTGACCAGTTAAGCAGACATTTTGAAGTTGGTAGTTTTCCTGAAAACCAGTCTTTCACTAAGCATCAGTTACCTTCTTGTTCCCACCCAACCCCCAGCTGCAGTCGTACTTTTACCTGTAAAGTGCACACTCTTCACTGGCACGTTCCCAGGTGCCTGAGGAACATTACACATTATTAGCAGTTTATGATCCAACACTGCATTTTTATTGAAATATGCATACTGACTTTAACATTTTTCCCTGGGACAGATTTCACTTACCCTTCGATATAGATCCGTGAGAAATAGTATTCCCCCTCCATAAACTATATGTATCTCTAGTGTTATTTCTAGTAATAGGATTGGTAAGGCTTTTCATGAATTTAGAACAAAGGCCTGTACAGTGTTTCCGTCATTGCAAAAGAAATTATAGTCAGACCCTCTCAGTGACTGGAGCTGAATTTTCCCATCCGTGACATGTTCTCTTGCCCATCTCTTCATCTTCTAGTTCACAAGGTAACAAACTTAGGACGAGATGAGAGTGGAGTTGGGTGGGGCTGGGGCAGCTTTGTCATTTGAGGTTCAGTTTGATACCAAGAATGGTTTCCTGGGCCCAGTTGAGAGAGGGGGCCAGGACTCAGGTGGGCCTGAAAAGGAACCAGGGTCCCAGTTGGCCAAGGCCAGACAAGGGTCTAAAGAGCAGGAGCTAGAATTCTAGATCTTGAATTCCAATTTTGGCAGCTGTGCAGTATACTCAGCTGCCCAGTCTGGGAAGGCCTTCAGATGAGAGCAGGCAGAATATCTGGCAGACACACACCCCACCCAGTGACATGGAAATGCAATGCAAAAACTTCAGCCAAAAAAACGGTGCTGGAGGTCAGCAGGTGGTGTAAAGGTTAAGGCACTGGATCTCACGTAGCCCACTATGTGGCTCGAGTCTTGGGTCCCATGGCTTGAAAATCACACTAGGCACTTGTGTGTGCATGCCCAAAGTCACAAGAGGAGACTAGAGGAAAAGGGTTACAGTATGGCCACTCCCAAAGCCCTAGTGATTTTTCATCTCCCCTACCCCTGTCTCTCTCTGGTGAGCACATGTACTCTATAGCAAAAAATAAAAATAATTAAAATGTTCCAGGACAGCCTCTCCTAAAGATGAGTAGTACCTTCTATGCAGCTTTTGTGGAGCACCAAGAGCTTTGAAGAAGTAGCAACTCTGTCCTCTAGAGGAAGACTTATGTGGAGTTATTGACTAAAATGTGTTTGCAGAGACATAGAAGTAGAAAGTGCGAGAAATCTCTAGTGAAAGATGAAGGAAGCCAGAGGACTGGGGTCACTAATGCATAGCTCTCCACTACCTCCTATCAGTTTCACTATTCCAAAAATAAAACCTCGGTAGGCCAAATTGAACACATAGATCTTCCTAAGTGAAATGAGTCAAAATAACTTACAAAATGAATTAAGTTTTTTTTTTTTTTAAGTTTATTTCTTCTGAGAGAAAGAGAGAAAGACAGGCACCCCCAAAAGGGTTCTCACACGGTGATCCAGCCCCAGCCTCGGCTGGGATCAGAGGTATGCGAGCACATCCAGTGTACTCAGCAAGGTCCCAGAGAACAAACCCAGGGCCTTTCCCATGCAGGTTCAGTTACATCCCTACCGTGCCACCACCTGGCCCCAAGAGTGATTTTTAGACTTAAAATGGTTTTCTCTATCTTGGACAAGGTTTTGTCGTTCATCTCCGCAGAGAGACAGAGACAGGGACCCCTGACAGAGTCTTGTCATACAGTAATGCTTCCCCAATCTTCCGGTCAGCCAGGATTATGGGATCACCTAGTATACTCAGGTCAACCCAGGATCTGAACCTCAGTCATTCCCATCTGGCTTCAGTACCATGGAGTGGTGCCCTACCATCTGTGCCACCACAAATGAGCCGGTCTTGAACCATTATTAATATTTTGTAAGGAATCACCCTCCCACTTTGTATATGATTGCTTTGCTTACATGATATTTTTGTTTTGTTTTGTTTTACAGAGAGCTTTTGCTATAGGGCTTGTGTGCTCTTGCCAGACATACAGAAAGAGACAGAAAGAGGAAAATCAACCCCTGGGGATATGGCCACGCCACAATCTCTTCTCCTCCATTCTCCTCTTGGGATTTTGGAACACACACACACACACACACACACACACACACACACAC